GGGTTGATCCTGAATTTCCTGAGAAACCGAAACACCGATTTCCAAAGTGGTTGCAAAAGTTTGCATTCCCACCAGCAATGGATGAGTGTACCCCTTACTTCACAGCCTCTCCAGCAAAGGCTATCATGGGTGTTTTTGATTTTAGCCATTCTGACAGGTGTCAAATGATATCTCAAAGTTGTTTTGATATGTCTCCTCCCCGCCACCGCCTCCCATTTCCATCCCCCTCCCCCAGTCAAGTCCCCCTCCCTCATCAGCCCAAAGAGCAGTGAGGGTTCCCTGCCCTGTGGAAAGTCCAAGGCCCTCCCACCTCTTTCCAGGTCTAGTAAGGTGAGCATCCAAACTGCCTAGGCTCCCACAAAGCCAGTACGTGCAGTAGGATCAAAACCCAGTGCCATTGTTCTTGACTTCTCAGCAGTCCTCATTGTCCGCTATGTTCAACGAGTCCGGTTTTATCCCATGCTTATTCAGACCCAGTCCATCTGGCCTTGGTGAGTTCCCGATAGATCATCCCCATTCTCTCAGTATGTGGATGCACCCCTCGCGGTCCTGAGTTCCTTGCTCATGCTCTCTCTCTTTCGGCTCCTGATTTGGACCTTGGAATTTCGGTCTGGTGCTCCAATGTGGGTCTCTGTCTCTGTCTCCTTCATTGCCTGATGAAGGTTAATATCCAGGAGGATGCCTATATGTTTTTCTTTGGGTTCACCTCTTTTTTAGCTTCTCTAGTATTATGAATTATAGGCTCAATGTCCTTTATTAATGGCTAGAAGCCAAGTATGAGTGAGTACATCCCATGTTCCTCTTTTTGGGTCTGGCTTACCTCACTCAGGATGGTGTTTTCTATGTCCGTCCATTTGCATGCAAAATTCAAGAAGTCATTGTTTTCTACTGCTGAGTAGTACTCTAATACGTATATATTCCATACTTTCTTCATCCATTCTCCCATTGAAGGGCATCTAGGTTGTGTCCAGGTTCTGGCTATTACAAACAATGCTGCTATGAACATAGTTGAGCATATACTTTTGTTGTATGATAGGGCATCTCTTGGGTATATTCCCAAGAGTGGTATTGCAGGGTCCAGGGGTAGGTTGATTCCGAATTTCCTGAGAAATAGCCACACTGCTTTCCAAAGGGGTTGCACAAGTTTGCATTCCCACCAGCAATGGATGAGTGTACCCCTTACTTCACAACCTCTCTAGCAAAGGCTATCATGGGTGTTTTTGATTTTAGCCATTCTGACAGTGTAAGATGGTATCTTAAAGTTGTCTTGATTTTCATTTCCCTAATCGCTAAGGAAGTTGAGCATGACCTTAAGTGTCTTTTGGCTATTTGAACTTCTTCTGTTGAGAATTCTCTGTTCAGCTCAGTGCCCCATTTTATAATTGGGTTGATTAGTTTTTTACAGTCTAGTTTCTTGAGTTCTTTTTATATTTTGGAGATCAGACCTTTGTCAGTTGCGGGGTTGGTGAAGATCTTCTCCCATTCAGTGGGTTGCCCTTTTGTCTTAGTGACAGTGTCCTTTGCTTTACAGAAGCTTCTCAGTTTCAGGAGGTCCCATTTATTCATTGTTGCCCTAATGTCTGTGCTGCTGGGGTTATACGTAGGAAGTGGTCTCCTGTGCCCATGTGCTGTAGAGTACTTCCCACTTTCTCTTCTACCAGGTTCAGTGTGTCTGGACTGATATTGAGGTCTTTAATCCATTTGGAGTTGAATTTTGTGCATGGTGATAGATATGGATCATTTTCATTCTTCTACAGATTGACATCCAGTTATGCCAGCACAATTTGTTGAAGATGCTCTCTTTTTTTCCATTGTATACTTTTAGCTCCTTTATCAAAAATCAGGTGTTCATAGGTTTGTGGGTTAAAGTCCGGGTCTTCTATTAGATTCCATTGGTCGACTTCTCTGTTTTTATGCCAGTTCCACACTGTTTTCATTACTGTAGCTCTGTAATAGAGTTTGAAGTCAGGGATGGTAATGCCTCCAGAAGATCCTTTATTGTATAGGATTGTTTTGGCTATCCTGGGTTTTTTGTTTTTCCATATAAAGTTGATTATTGTCCTCTCCAGATCTGTGAAGAATTTTGGTGGCATTTTGATGGGGATTGCATTGAATCTATAGATTGCGTTTTGTAGAATTGCCATTTTTACTATGTTGATCCTACCAATCCAAGAGCATGGAAGACCTTTCCATTTTCTGGTATCGTCCTCAATTTCTTATTCAAAGACTTAAACTTTTTGTCAAATAGGTCTTTTGCTTCCTTGGTTAGTGTTACCCCAAGATACTTTATGCTATTTGTGGCTATTGTAAAAGGTGATGTTTTTCTGATTTCCCCTAAGCCTCTTTATCGTTTGTGTATAGGAGGGCTACTTTTTTTTTTTTTGATCTTGTATCCTGCCACATCACTGAAGGTATTTATCAGCTGTAGGAGTTCTCTGGTAGAGTTTTGGGGGTAACTTATGTACACTATCATATCATCTAAAAATAATGAAAGTTTGACTTCTTCCTTTCCAATTTGAATATTCTTGATCTCCTTATGTTGTCTTATTGCTATTGCTAAAACTTCAAGAACTATGTTGAGGAGATATGGAGACAGTGGCCAGCTTTGTCTTGTTTCTGATTTTAGTGGAATAGCTTGAGTTTCTCTCCATTTAATTTGATGTTAGCCGCCAGCTTGCTGTATATTGCTTTTATTATATTTATATATGATCCTTGTATTGTTCAAACATGAGTAACTAATCACTGGCAAATTCTTCTAAAATATTCCCATTATTTTATTAAAACAAAAGTCTATTCTTTTGAAGGCAAATACTAGCAATTTGGTAATTTCTCTGCGTTCATAAGAAGAAGAGAAATAAGGCATATTCAAGTCCATTTATTTGATTTCTTTCAGAAATATGTAAGTTTATAAATTCATACAGAGTTGCTGAATTTTTAACTGTGTTATCAAAGAAAGAACTACTAAGTAAAATTTCCTATACAACTCAGGTTATCACTGTTTTGATAGAATGACAAAGGTACAATTTACATAAAAGAGTTAATAGTCAGTCGCCCATTGTAAAATTCCATGAGATAAGCAAAATCAAATGTAATGTAGTAGAAAAGATTATTGTGTATGTGCCTGTGGGTAGTTATATTCACTTTTCTGATGTGTCAGTTTAATCTCTATACTACATTATTGCAGAGACTGAAGACACAATTGAACATTAATTAGAAACAATTTACTTGTTGCCCACATGGTTACTCCTTTCTTTTCCTTTCACAAACAAAGCTGAAAGTATTTTCCTTGGAGTCCTTGGTCATCATTAGAAAGGGAATCACAGTTAGGAAACACCCAGAGACAACTGCAGCAATATTAACCAGGAGCCAGCTTGGATCATACAGAAGAGCTAAATTAGGCTGCATGAGGCAAGAAAGTGTGAAGAAACAGACAAAGGTGTTCACCAAGAACAGAATGTTTTTTGTAGCTCTGCTCTCCAGGGAAGACATAGTTTCCTCTGGAGAGGGAAAAGTTGCTCCTATGAATATATGTCATTTTGTTCTTGTGTCTGTAGAGAATGTAAATCATGAAACTGCTGGACCACCACATCAAACCCATGAACAAGACATTAAGATTTGAGAGTAATACTATATAGAGGATGACACTAGTTTTGTCATGATACATGACAGCATGACATCCAAACTATTTTTGACTTATCACATTTCTATTATTCCTTTTTAAAGTCATGTTCATATGAAAAATCATGTTTGCTGTGAGTGATAGTATCCAGTGCAGGCACACACTAGAAGCAATGTAACTTGAAGACTTGATTTTAGCCTTTGTCCAACTGGAGCGCTTAGAGCTGATCGTGATGGCCTGAAAGACACACTGCAAGCTGGTGCTGCTGATGGACACACCCTTCCCTACTCTGTGAAGATAGAAGTTTGAAGAAATAAAGAAAGAAATTAAAATCTTCCTTGAATTCAATGAAAATAAAGACACAACATACTCAAACCTATGGGACACTATGAAAGCAGTGCTAAGAGGAAAGTTCATAGCACTAAGTGCCCACTTAAAGAAAACAGAGAAAGCACACATTGGAGACCCAACAGCCCACCTGAAAGCTCTAGAAAAAAAGAAGCAGACTCACCCAGGAGGAGTAGAAGACTGGAAATAATCAAACTGAGGGCTGAAATCAACAAAATAGAAACACAGAAAACAATCCAAAGAATCAATGAAACAAAAAGATGGTTCTTGGAGAAAATCAACAAGATTGATTAAACCCCTATCCAAGCTAATCAAACGACAGAGAGAAAATACGCAAATGAAAAGTATTGATCTTCAATGTCAAACAGTAACAACTTTGGCGAATACAATTCTTTTTTTTTTTGTAACAGAAAACAATTATAACACCGAAAAATAGACGATTATTAAAAAAAAAAAACTTCAAATTAAAAATAAGAAAAAAAAGCTCACCATGGGCTTCTCCTACTCACGCATACCCATGGCTACTCATTGACTCTGCCCTACTTAGAGCTGGGCTCGGAAGGGAAAGAAGCGGAGGCTGGTAACACTGTGCTGGAGAGTAACCTGGCCCCTAACCCTCTTACAGAACCTGCTCCGCTCACTTCCACTCTTTTGGCTTTGTTTTGTTTTTGTACACTACCCAGGAGCATGCTATGCCCACCCTCCACTTTAGTCCATCACTTGGGCCTTGGCCCCGCCCACATTCCCTTACCAGCTGGTTCTCCGCCCTCATCACGCCATCTCGTCATTGAAACCCTCACCAGCCTGACCACCTTTCTCCTGCCCTGCTGAAGTTCTGGACTCTGGACTCCACCCGTACTCACCGACCTCCCCTTACATTTTCGTCTCAGTCTATACCCTCTAGTACGCCCCTCGACAATGTCAATCACTCTGTCTGACCCCGCCTACTTTCCCAGAACTGGCTTGGAAGCACTTCCGCTGCGGCCCGGAAGCAGTTCGTCGCAGGTCAAATGCTGTAGTCCGGTGAGTTTGCCCAGAGCCTTTAGAATGGTTGCCTGCCTAGGAGCTGCGTGGAGAACCTTTACCCATGCCCGGGAACCGTATTTTGTGCGCCAGCTCAACCCGCGTGACGCGGAGAGCCGGGAGACTGAGGAAGTAGGGACGTGGGAGAGAGATGGCAGCAGAGCGAGGCGAGGGCTGCCCAGACAAGAAGCACCCAGAAAGGATCAGGGACACGGATTCAGACGCTTCTGCGGCTGGGGAGGAGACTTGACTGTCGTTGGTGCGGGAAGAGCCAGGCGATGAGGGGACTAGAGAGGGGTGAAGCTGCAGGTGACAGTGGACCTGGTTGCGGTGGGATATCTGGCCCGTCGGAGGGAATACACAAAGCAGGGTCTGGAACTAGCTCTGTAGACCAGGCTCCAAAGCCACAGTGAAACCCTGTCTTGAAAAAACCAAAAAAAAAAAAAGCAGGGTCTGGAGTACAGAAAGCAACGGGAGGTGAGGGGACACGAGCTGAGCTGCCGTTGTGTGGAGGGTGGCTGGAGAGAAAGAAAAGCTGGTGGAAGGTGTCAAGGAGATAGTGCAGAATGAGGGCGGGAGAGGCTAGATAAGGGAGGAGTTGATGGGTTAATAGGGTTATTGTTATTGAGCTTGCCTTTTTGTTGAAAAAGCTTTGCTTAAATGTTGGTGGTGAGAAAGAGAATTGCAAAATGTGTATCTGCCGGGCACGTATTGTGCAGAGCATGTTGGCACACACCAGTAATGTCAGCGTGTGGAAGCAAAGCTGGGGTAGGAATACGGACAGTTTAAGGCAGCCTGGAAAAGATAACGTAAGGCACTTTCCAAGTGAGTAAATAATGTTGAGGTTTGAGGATACTGCCCCCGTTTAGACCTTCTTCAGCCAGAACAGTGATGTGACTCCTTTCGACAAGGTCACCCTTTGGTTTCACAGGTGTGGTATGGAGGAGTGGTGGGATGTTTTCCTCTTTTCTAAAAGTGTCAACTTTCTTGTTGTCTCTCCTGCAGTAGTTTATTGTCCCTACAGCCCCTTGCTGCAGTGGGCTAAAAAGGTCCATCTTTCTGCATGGTGAATTCCTCCCAGTGACCCAGTGACTCTGGCTGTGGTACAGGAAGTGGGTGCCTTGCTTAGCTGGTTTGAATGTCCCTGTAATCCCGACTCGCAGGAGACTCAGGCAGGAGGGTGATGAGTTCAAGTCCAGTCTGGGCTGTATATTGTGCCCTCATCTCCAAAAGGGAAGGGAAATGGCTGTGTTTATCTGGAACATTATATTTTACTATTTTTGAGAGAAGGTTTTGCTAGTTTTACTAGTTCCATAAGGCCTGAAAATCACTAGCCTGACTGGCCTTTGAGTTCACAATCCTCAGTCTTTAGTGCTAGCATTGTATATGTATGCAGGCCCATTCTCTTTTAATATTATTCCGAAAATTAGGGTTTTATTAATGAAAGCACTTCACAAACCTTTGATATCTTAATTGTGTGCTTTTGGTATTCAGGACTGACTTCTGAATACTCAAGTTACTCAAGGAAGAAACTGGGAGGAGGAAAATGAAGAAACAGAAAGAAACAGTAATGTCTGCCATGAAGGTAAAGTGAGCCACTGTCGTCATCCCACTCCCCACACACACCACATTTTTTTCTGCTCTCCCTGAAGTGTTAGGCATGGAAGCTGCTGTCCTGCACTGAGTGTAGCACAGACATTTCACTTGCTCTTCCTCGTGTTTTTCCTTGGCCTTTGTTGTGTTCACTAGATTTCATCTCACAATAATCCTGTGATATAGCACATGGAAGAAACTTCTATTGAATATGTTCTAGAAGCAGCCCCTGTGCTAAGGATTGCCTAGTAAGGATTGACTGTTAGCTCTCTAGATGTAGGAAAAAGACACTATACTTTGAAATTACATACTGACATGCACACACAGATACTTCTTCAATTATGGGGATAAGGGGACCTTCATGTGAAACTGCATTCTTCATAGCCCAGTATACTGCAGGATATAATGTCAGTGGTCATTGTTTCCAAAAGAACATCTCAACAACTAAAATTGGAATAAGGGTTAGAGGGTGTTATATTTCACCATTAAGATATTAGGGTTTTTCCCCCCTTGTTTTCAGAGAGAGTAAGATTATCTTTTTGTGTAGCTAAGGCTGCTTCCTCAGTGCATTCTGGGCTATCATCATCTCTCTGTGTATGTGGAGTATGTACTTGTTCATGTGAGTGTACTCATACGTTGTAGGCATGTTTGAAGGCCAGAAGTCAAATCAGTCATCTTCCTGAGGGGCTTGCTACTCTTATTTTGATACAGCATGTCTTATGGGATCTGGAGATCATTAATTGGTTAAGCTGGCTGAGCACTAAGCACTATGGATTTGTCTCTCCACTAGTACAGTACGGAGTTTGCAGATGCTCTCAGCTTTTACATGGTGCTGGGGATACAAGCTCAGGTCCACTTGCTTTCCAGGCAAGCACTTTACTGCCTGAGCTGTCAGTATGAACCAGCCTGAGTGCTCAACGAAGGGGGCTCTGTGAACATTCTCAGAACTTCTATCCTGTAGCCCCTGCTGTTCCCATGTGACTCTTCTGAATCTCACATTTCTGATAAAAGTAATTCTGTTTTTCAGACTTGGGAGCATATTTCCTTGTAATAAAAAACACAATAATATTTTCCTCCTATTAATTAGTATTGGATATTCAAAAGTAAAAATGTAAATGTGTATCCTAAACAGACTCTTTCATCATAAATTTGGAAGCAGTCCTGAATTTTAGGAAGTGAATTGAAGCATTCTTTTCCTTGCCTATTACTGTTTCTTAGACACCAGGAAACCACAGCTGCAGTTCTTTTAGGAATTTAAAAGATTTTTTAGGGTACTTTATTTTGTAAGTATTCCCATTAGGAAAGTAGAGTAGCTTCTCTCTCTCTCTCTCTCTCTCTCTCTCATTTTCTTTTGTCTCCTATTTTTCTTTTTGATTTTCCAAGACAGGGATTCTCCATATAGCCCTGGCTGTCCTGGAACTTGCTTTGTAGGCTGGCCTCAAACTCACAGAGATCTACCAGCCTCTGTATCCCAAGTCCTGGGAGTAAAGGTGTGTGCCATCACTGCCTGACATACTCTTTTCTTTTGTGACAGTCTTTCACTCTGTTTTCTGGAACTCTATATAGTTCAGACTGGCCTTGACCCCATAGTAAAATCTGTAGCTTCAACCTCCAGAGGCTTGGTTTTACAAAAGTAAGTTACCATTTCCAGTGCTTTTTCACAGTCTTGTGGGAACATTCTATAAATGAATGTACATAGTTCTCACATAGTGTTCAGTGAACACATCTTGATTGGGTTCTTGATAAGTGCTACAAATTACCCCTCTAGGCTTGGTATTAGAATTATACCCTTCTAAGTGGTTCCTGTATTTTCACACCATCTCAGGTTTCATTGCTAAAATCCAAAAGTTTTTTGGATTTTTCATGATCTACATATTGTTGATAAATTTGTGTATAAAGTAGAGTGTTTTTTGTTGGATTGCATGTTTCATGAGACTGTGATGAGGAAACATAGTCCTCTTGATTACCTGGTTCTGTGTTGTAACCACATCAATGTGTTAATTTTAGTAAATCTACTTCTGCTGTTCTCTTCACCGCCTTCTTTTCCTCTCACTGAGTGGTAATGATTGCTGCATCTCTGGCTAGTCGCCTCTCTGCTTTCTATCCTCTGGAGAAAATGGTGGTCATGATAGTTTTAATGTTTGGGTTTATTTAAAATCATGTTTTGTTTTCCTACATATTTTTACTGCTGACTGGTGAACACAGGTTTGAGCTGTACCTTCAACTTTTTTGCTTATAAAATGATTTTGGGGGGGGGGGAGCTAGAGAGATAGAGATGACTCAGCAGGTAAAAGATCTGGCTGCTCCTCCAGAGGAGATGTGTTGTATTCTTAGCATCTACATGGAGGCTCATCACCATTTGTAACTTCAGTTTCAGAGAACCTAACACCCTCCTCTGGCCTTCTTGGGCACCAGGTACTCCTGTCTTACCCAGACATACATCTTAGCAAACATTTAAACATACAAAGTAATAAGCCCACTCTAGCCCTGCACTCAATATGCAGTACAGTCCGGCCTTGAATTCATAGAGGTCCTCGCACCCCAGCCTTTAAAGTGCTGGGATAATAAGCCTGTGTCATGGCACTGAGCTGACTTCTTAAGGCCCCATGATGTCATCTCAGAAGACACTGCATGAATTAGCTCAGCTAGAAACTGAACTGGGTGTGTCAAACATCTTATCTACCACTTGAGTTGAGGTGAGCCTGTGGGTTTTTCTTTTTCTTTTATCAAATAAGTACCAAGTGGTAGTTAGGGGAATTGGGCAAAAGGGGGTGAAAAAAGGTTTCGGAGGACACAGTGAACATTTATCAGAGTGGGCAGTGAATGAAAGGAGCAGACCTTGTGTTGGCTTTTGTTTATTTTTGTATTGTCTACAAACATGAGAAATGCTCTGTGATGTGATACCATAATATTTCATTACAAAGCAGAAAAACATTAGGGACATACCGTGTTGTTCTGATGCATCTTAATTTAGGAACATAGGAGAAACTAGGGTAGGTCTTGTACACTCATTAATCAGAAAGTTTAGGGTAGCCCACATACCAGTCAAGTAGTTCTGCAGTGTACTGCAGCCCAGTGTCAGCTAATCAAGTTGCATTCTGACACTAAACAGCTGGAGGACCCAGTTTCACAGAATATGCTCAGCAAGGATCTATACAGCTTCCTCCTCAGTTTTATGGTTCATTTCTTAGGGCAACTTACAAAACCAAGGAAACCCTTTACCTTTTCCTATTTATTATAAAGAACATTCCAAAGACTCTAGATGACAGGTTGTTCAGAGAAGACAGAAAAAGCGATGTACATGAGATGGGCTGTCACTTTCACTCCCTCCTTGGGTAAGCCACTCTTTAGTACTTTCCCCATAGCAGAATGTAGGATAAAAGCTTTAAACTTATTTGAGGTTTTATGAAGATTCCATTATTCACATATTACTTAATTCCTTTGGTCATTGGTATTCACACATGCCTTCAGCCCAATCCTCTCCATGGAGGATGGGGACTAAGACCTGAAGTTCGAACCTATTCCTGCCTTGGTCGTCTTGGGCCCTGTAAATTGTCCTCTAACTCGGGACTTCATTTTACCTTTTATCATAATCATAGAAAACAAATCCATTCTTATCACTCTGGAGATGCCAGGTGAACTGTATGTCTGAGAACTAGACAAAAACATATGTTACAGGAAGGCTGTTTGTTTGTTCCCTGGCCACCCAGACTCCTGAAATAACCACAGAGAAACTGTATTAATTAAATCACTGCTTGGCCCATTTGCTCTAGCTTCTTATTGGCTAACTCTTACATCTTAATTTAACCCATTTCTATTAATCTGTGTATTGTCACATGGCTGTGGCTTTCTGGATAAAGTTCTGTCCAGCCAGGGCTACATGGCTTCTCACTGATTCCACCTTCTTTCTCCTATCATTCAGCTTAGTTTTCCTCACTTCTCTCTATTTTACCCTGTCAGACCAAAGCAGTTTCTTTATTCATTAACCAATAAAAGCAACACATATATAGGAGGACTTCCCACATCAGATATATAGTTTGTAATCTCACAGAGTGGTGGTGGTTTGGTCTCATCAACTCAGTCTTTCTGTTTTTTCCCCTTTTCTTGTCTTTTTGTGAAGATCCTAAATGTCCACATAGTGAAATGTGTTTGTTTCCTTTTAGGGGAAGTTGACTTTCAGTGATGTGGCCATAGAGTTCTCTCAGGAGGAGTGGGAATGCTTGAACCCTGCACAGAGGGCTTTGCACAGGGATGTCATGTTGGAGAACTACAGCAACCTGGTCTCCCTCGGTAAGGATGACTTCTTTCAAGAGTTGGGAATCTTTGCCATGTAACCTTGCAGTTTTCTTTCCATGCCTTTGGGGGAACCATGTGGCCTCTTCCTTTCTTCCTCCCACTGTTCCCTCTTCCTTCTCTTGCTCAGCATTGGGAATAGAACCTAAGACTTTTTCACCAACAAGCACTGGGTGTTATTTCTGGCCCTTGTGGTAGATTTTGTTTTTGTTTTGATCTCTTGAGTTATATAATTTAGAAGCCTTGACCTTAAGAGTTTTGTTTTTGTTTTTTTTTTTTGTTTTTTTTTTGCCTCACATTCCCTAGTGCTGGAATTACTGGCATGTGTCACTACACATGACTCATGTCACCTAGATTTGTGTTTAAAGTATCCAATGTTGAGTGTTCTGTGTTGCGTGGGGTGTTCAAAGAAGGAGAGTCACGTAAATTTTAGGCCCTCTGGCAACGGGGAGAAACAGTTTCTGTGACCTGAACTTTGAACCTATGTTCGAAGCATATTTATTGACAGTACACAAAAGTTGTATTAGGAGTATCGAAGCCCCTTTGGTCTATATGCTTTCTGGAGGAAATTATCACATTCCCAAAACCTTTACTTCTTATTTTGTACTGCTTGCAGTACCTAATAGTGCAAGATCTCCAGGTGTGTCTGGATAGTCCTGTAGCCAAAATCATACAACAGAAAACAAATCTATAAATCATAGAAAGCAGTCACTCTTCTCTACTGTGGTTTCTTCATAGTTTGGTACCTTCAACTAACGCTAATACATTCTACTGTTGCCCTATATATAGTGAGGAACAGCTATTATATTTTATGTTTACCCTAGATACAAATGACTGTATTAGAGTCCCACTACATCCAATTCTTTGCTTTCTTTCCCTGAACTTTTGATTCAATCATTTTGATACATAACTAGATATCTGTCCATTAAACTCCCAGAAGGAGGCTGTCAGTAATGATTTTGTATTTTTCTAGATTTATATGAAGCTTGCTCTCTCCCCACATTAGCATAGGACAGATATTCTATAAAAACCTCACTACATGGTATTACTGTCTTTTTATAAACAGGAGTCACACTTCCTAATCTGAATATTATGTCTATGTTGGAAGAAGAGAAAGGGTCCTGGATCGTGGAGAGTAAGGCAGTAATAACCAGAAAACCAAATGGACAAGAATATGTGAGGACAGGTAAGCTCTCAGAGGGTAGAGTGGAAGCTGTACCGCTGTGCATTGGCAAGTCAGGGTTTCTATGGGAAACATAAGTCTGTCACTATCCTTTACAGGTAGAGAACTTTAGCCTTTAACTCTCTCGTGGTGTCCTGGTAGCTTTGTTTGTTTTTAATCTTTTTCTTCTTTGTGTATTTGAGGTAGTGTCTCACTCTTCATTTCAGACTGATCTGAAACTCACTGTGTAGCTCTTGGTAAGCATCCTGTCTCAGCCTTCCAAGTGCTAGGATTAGATGCATGAGCTACCATTTGATTAAATTTTGACAGAGGTGCTATACAAGGTTCATGGTGAAATGTTTAACTCTCTTTGACAATGTGAAATGGAACATTCTGTGTGGGAGGAGGATGGGTAGCAATGTTATCTCTGCAGACCAGGCTAGCATGGAACTCTCAGTTCTCCTGCTTTAGCCTGACAATTGATATAATTATGTATGTGGGCCTCCATGCTTCCCTGACGTAGAACTTTGAAGAGGTGAATCTAATTAGGAAATAGGTAACTGGATGAGCCACCCTGAGAGGGATTAATGTTGAACATAATGATGTATTAGTAAGGCTAAGCTGGGCCTGGTGGTAAATGACTTTAATCCCAGCACTTGAGAAGCAGAGGCAGGGGGATCTTTCTGAGTTTGAGACAAAGCTGATCTACATAATTGAGTTCCAATTATGTAGTCAGAGTCTGTCTCAATAGAAATAAAACTTAAAAATTGAAATAATTAGGCTAACACAAAACAACACATAATGGTTTCCTACTTGGTTCATTTTGTCCAGTAAAATGTTCTCTGGGATGATAAATGTTGTCATATTTAGAACTTCATTTCCCTGGACAAATAAAACTCATCACACACACACACAGACAGCTATTTATGTACACACAGGTAAATTAAATAATTTTGCTACTAAAAATAACACCAGAATAGTGCAGGCATCACTCAAAAGCTGAGTTGCCAGATGATGTAATAACAACATCTGTCTTTTGCCTCTGTCTCAGAATGTTTCCTCTTCCATACTTATTGTCACCATTGTGAAACCTACCATGACTAACTGAGAAGAACCAAATGAAACAGGCTTTTGTTACTTTGCATTAGGTATTTTCCTCTGAGTGTAGACAAGTAATTTGCATACCATATATCCAAAAGTGAATTAATAGCCAAAATGTAAAACCTGAAGTAAGCCAGCATGAAAACAGCCGGCCTAAAAATGGGGATGTGTGCGTGTGTGTGTGTGTGTGTGTGTGTGTGTGTGTGTGTGTTAGGCAAGAGGTGGTGCTTACACTTAGGGCCTAGCTAAGCTAGAACCATACCAGGCTCCCACCCCATTAGAAATGTTGTATTCTTTTCATTTTACTTTTTATGTATTCTTTTTTTGAGATGAACATTGCACAGGCCACTCAGACTCCTCAGATGGATTAGAGGTACACATCACGATGCCTAACTTTAATACATATTTACTGAAGAGAAATGATACATGAAATGAAGTTCAGCATTATTATTTTGCAGAAATGCCAATTTTTACCAAAGTGAATGTCACTTTCACTTGGAAAGATAGCTATTGTGGAAAAGGTGAGCCTTGATCTGGATGTGGTAGAAAGGGAATTTGGGTTCTCTGTTGTTGGGAATCTAGATTGGGATTCATTAATAAGAACTAATTACAGACAAATCAGAAAAAGTAAATAGAACTACTGTATAATCAATAAGGCAGCTCAACTTGTGAATGTAGATACTGAAGACTAATGATGACATGTACATGGCATGGCTATATTGTTCTTGTGACTTACGTTTGTGACATTATTGCTAGTTGCCAAGTTAAGTAATAGACCATGTGTTCATAACCAATGCATCTATGTGTGGTCAGAGGCTGCTCTTTTGTTTCCTGACTGCCTAGACCCAAAATAACCACACAGAAACTATATTATTTAAAACACTGCTCAGCTTGTTAGCGTATTCATGTTTATAGCTAGCTCTTACATCTCAAATGAACTCATTTCTATTATTTTAAATTTTACCATGTGGTTCGTGGTTTACCAGTAAAGTTCTGGGGTCACATCTGTCTCCTTCAGTGGCTACATGGTGTGTCATTCCACCTACTTTATATCTCTTTCAGCCTGGCTTTAATCTGTTAAGCCATTGGCTGAAAGCAGCTTCTTCATTAACCGATGGCAGTAAAACATATGCACAGCATACATCACCTCCCTTTTCTATCTAAATAAAATGGAAGGTTTTAACTTTAACATAGCAAGAGTACATATGACAAAACAGGTATCAAGCAATAATTATAGTTACAATATTTATATCTTACTTGATCTTTTATCATAACTAAGGAAAACAATAATTATAACTATTCTTCAACTCCATCAAAGACCCCAACAAGAATATCATCTTGCCTAAGTTAACAGGAAGTGCATTGTAAGCAACTTCCAGAACTCTAAAATTGACAGAGACATCTCGCTGCCTAGTCTCCTAAAGTTCTTCTGTAACATTGCAGGCACTCATTTTCAGCCTACAGGCCCATAGTATCTGGCATAGTTTTCCATGAAGCAGGAAATTTCAAAGACAGTTCCACCTATATTGGCAGTTAGTCACTTTCTTCTCTGTCCTGCAGAATGTCTGGCAGACTTTTTCATGAAGCAGGAACATCTTCTTTAAGCAGCTTCAGTACTCATTTCTGTCAAATAGTTCAGGCAAGAACAGTTTCTTCCCCAAATGGCTAACAAACTCCATAAGGAGCCTCTTCGATGCCCATCATCCTCTTGAAGTAGATTGGTGATGCCAGGAGCACATGTGTCTCATTGTCGAGAAAAGTCCTAAGTTCTTAAAACATTCTAAATGCCAAAATCTGTAGGTCTTTGAAAGGTTTGAAGGTTATCTGTCTAACTGAAATATAATTTATATATTTAGAAAATCTAACTAACATGACTACAAGCTTGACTATAATAGATGACTATGTATTAACCTGTATATAGAATTTTTAGGAAACTGCAGCAGAGACATTCTAAAATGCTGGGTCACCTGAGATGCTTGTCTTTATTGTTATCTGATCCCTTTATTTTATGAAAACACAAACTTTATGTAACATATGTATCTGCATTAAAACAAATATAGAATGGTGTGTACAGGTCAGCTAAAGGTGGTTTTTGTTCTATGTTTTAGCAGGCATAAAGGATCTGTTGACTTTATAAGTCTCTGGATTATATAAACAAACCTCTATCCATGCCATTTGTAAAGATGATATGGAATAATAAATCATGAGGCCTCTTTAGCAAACAAGATTTCATCCAGTCTCAGAGCTATTCCCATGTGGAGGTATCAGCATGTACATCATCTGTTTTTTAGATTTTCTTGTTTTTTTGTTTGCTTGTTTTTTTTTTTTTCATTTCTATAACCAAGACTTTTAGGAGCTTTCTCCCAAACAAATCTGATCTTCATTAATTTTGAAGCAATTTATAGCTGTTTGCTTTCTGTAGAGTCATAGGCATAACATCTTCCCCAACACATCAGATTTCCTACCTTACATTATGAAGTTAAGACATTCTTAAAATACTTAACTTAGCTTTTTTTTTTTTGTCCAATCGACTGTCTTTCAGGAGCATTTGTGTTTTGCTCATCAGCATTCAAAAATTTTAAAGTCATCAAAGCAACATATAAGATCGAGCCCTATGTATTTCCCATCCTTACATTGCTTTTTAAAAATTACTTTACTTTATTATTTTTAAACTATTTATTGATTGATTGATTTTGTTATGACTTTCCATACCCATTTTTTTCTTTCTATAGCATCTAAGCATACATTCAGGCACACTGTATGTTGTGACCTGTTCAGAGGCTTTCTTGACTCAAGTCTGAGTTTATGCATGTCTGTACCCTTCTCTGTCCACATGAACCAAACCTTTACTCTCTAGGGTGAGCACATGGCTTGGCGACTGGCTCTGCCTCCTTTGGCCTAATGATCCCAGCTCTGGAAAGTTGCTGAGATCAAGATGCAGTAGGTGTTTTTACCTAGCATACCAGCTGTTCAAGTGCTCTGATGTACAGCAAAATCTTTTTTTTTTCTTTTTTTTTAATTTATTTATTTATTAAAGATTTCTGTCTCTTCCCAGCCACCGCCTCCCATTTCCCTCCCCCTCCCCCAATTAAGTCCCCCCCCCCCTCAGCCCGAAAAGCAATCAGGGTTCCCTGTCCTGTGGGAAGTCCAAGGAACCCCCCACCTCCATCCAGGTCTAGTAAGTTGAGCATCCAAACTACCTAGGCTCCCACAAAGCCAGTACGTGCAGTAGGATCAGAAACCCATTGCCATTGTTCTTGAGTTCTCAGTAGTCCTCATTGTCCGCTATGTTCAGAGAGTCCGGTTTTATCCCAGGCTTTTCCAGACCCAGGCCAGCTGGTCTTGGTGAGTTCCCAGTAGAACATCCCCATTGTCTCAGTGTGTGGGTGCACCCCTCACGGTCCTGAGTTCCTTGCTCGTGCTCTCTCTCCTTCCAGCAAAATCTTTTAAAGAATCTGTGATTCTGTATGCTGTAAGAAAAGTGCCTACCCGAAAGAACATGGTCACCAGAAAGTCACACTTGGGACTTTTTGTTCCAACTTTCTCAGGCCCTATGTAGATTTATGTGCTGAATGTTGGGTGCTAAATGTAGCAAGTTTTCTTGTCTAGCTATCTTCGGATCACCAGCCTGCAAATAATGATTTGGAGACTTATCATTAATTATGAAAGATGCGCCTTATTTTATGCTTTTTCCCAATTAGCTCTTATAACTTAACTATCTCTATTAATATACGTTATGTCATGTTGCTCAGTTTCTTTGCTCAGTACCATATGTCTGACTTTTTCAGTGTCTCACTGGCATTTCCCCCCTTTCTTCCCAGAGTTCCTTCTCTCTCCCCAGGAGTCCCACTTATTCTCTCCTGCCTAACTATTGGCCATTCTACTTTTTATTAATCCAAATCACAGTGACACCTATCCTCACAGTGTAAACAAATATTCCATAACATGACATATTACTTATCTAAATTAGTGAGAGACAGCAAACATTCCATTCATGTTTGCATTGGATCATGCCCACATTTTTTTTTTTACTCTACTTTTTCTCTTTCCCCTTCCCTGATAGAATCTCTTCTACTTTATAATTTTTTTGAATCAGGCTTTTTAGAAAAATTTCCATATGTAAGACAAAATATGCTACATTTGTCTTTGTATTTAATTTGTTTTGCTTAATGCAGTGCTCTCCAGTTCTGTCAGTTTTTCTAATGAATGACAGGATTCCATGTATTCTTTATCATTGAATAATTCTGTAATGCCTATGTTTATGAATCAATCTGTTGATGAACTTGAGGGCTGATTCCATGTCTTGGGTATTGTGAGCCTTCGTTTCATAATCATGGCTATGCAGTTATATTTTCTATATAATGACTTTGTTTCATACATAAAAACACAGGAGGTAAATGACAATGTTATATTCCTTTTTTGTACTACTGTAATAGAAAGTCCTGTTTATTCTTAATATGAAAGTGTTTACCATTTTACAACGTGATATTTTATTTTTAATATTTGTCATTTTTAATTAAATGTCTGTGTGTGTGTGTGTGTGTGTGCGCGCGCGCACATGCGCGCGCGCGCACAGGAGTTCAGGTGCCTACAGAGTTCAGACATAATTGTTGGATCCCCTGGAGCTGGCATTATAGGTGGTTGAGAGTTCTCCAATGTAGGTCTTGGGAACCCATCTCAGCTCTTGTACAAGAGTAGTGCATACTCATAAGCACAAACAGTGCTTTAGATCTTCAGATCCTATATTTATCAGTTTATGAACTTATGTAGTCATAAGTTTGCCTGCTTGCTTTATCATGAAATCCAAAAATTGCTTTATAATATTTACTAGGACCTATAAGTGATTGTTTTTTGTATGTGCTGTGCAGTATAAATGACATGCACTGCTTGTTAATGTTAAAAAATGCCCATCATTAGTGGGTCTAGGTAGGTTTATGAGAGATGATTGCATTGTTTTTGCTGGTACTGTTTGTCAATTTTTCTTCTAGCTATCATTTTGCAATTCAAAATTGCCACCTACTTATATAAATTTAACTATTATTACCTTCCATTTTAATTTATTTTGGTGCTTTAGTGTGTATTTCTACAGAATAAGCTGTTAATATCTACTTTCCTCCCCTCAGTTATAGTATAGCCATATACTTTTTGGCAATTAGTATACACCTTTATATGATGGAAAAATATTCTTTTCCTGATTTATGGTACTTTACTCAATATGAAGCATTTGGTCATGGGTTATTTGAAACAATCACTTTTTCCTGATGATTTAAATTACATATAAATTAATTACATTAATTATGGGATCAGTCATTTTATTATGCTTACATTATTTTTTATGGTTCTAAAAATTGATAAGTTAACTCAGTAAATCTTACTTTGCTGGAACTTTTTTTCAGAGTGGAATATCTGTCTTAATTAATGAAAAATCTGTTATGTCTTCTAGTCAACTCTCTTGAACATATAATTAAAGATTTACCACCAAAAGAGAGCAGCAATTCAGGGGAAATAGACCAGACAGTGGTGTCAGAAAGATATAAAAGCAGTGGCACTAAAGACTGTTCGTTCAGAGGACTCCAGAAGAACGTACAGGATTTTGAGAGGAAAGACAGTGAAAGGAGTTATAAATTCACCCATAGAAGACATCAAGATTGTAGAAAGAATACAGGAAAATGCCTTAGGAACTTATTTGAAATGCAGCCATTTCCATCTACAGAGAATATTGATGATGATGAACTTCAGTCTATCACCAGTGGCTTTTCAATTTCATCATCTGAACAGATTTCGTCTATTGGTGTCAAAGCTCACATTGTTCATGAATATGAATATGATGTTTATTGTTCACTACTTATGAAAAGACGCAAAGCACACATTAAGGAAAAACCTTATCAATGTAATGAGTGTGGCAAGGTCTTCAGTTATACTTCTTCTCTGGCACATCATCGGCAAATTCATTCTGGAGAGAAACTTTACAAATGTGTCCAATGTGGTAAGGCTTTTTTTCGACGTTCTTACCTTTTGGTACATGAGAGGCATCATACTGGAGTAAAACCTTACAAATGTAATGAATGTGGCAAGGTCTTCACACAGAATTCACACCTTACAAGTCATCGGAGAATTCATACTGGTGAGAAACCATACAAGTGTAATGAATGTGGCAAAGCCTTTAGTGTTCGTTCAAACTTAACTAATCATCAGGTAATTCATACTGGTGAAAAACCTTATAAATGTAACGAGTGTGGCAAGGTCTTCAGTCAGACTTCAAGCCTTTCAGTTCATCGGAGAACTCACACTGGGGAGAAACCTTACAGGTGCAATGAGTGTGGGAAAGCCTTTAATTCACATTCAAACCTAAATACCCATCAGATAATCCATACTGGAGAAAAACCCTACAAATGTTCAGAGTGTGGCAAGGTCTTTACTCAGAATTCACACCTTGCAAATCATTGGCGAATACATACTGGAGAAAAACCTTACAAGTGTAATGAGTGTGGAAAGGCTTTTAGTGTGTATTCCAGCCTCACTACCCATCAAGCAATCCATAGTGGAGAAAAACCTTACAAGTGTGATGAGTGTGGCAAGGTTTTCACGCAAAATTCACATCTTGCAAGTCATCGTGGAGTCCACAGTGGGGAGAAACCTTACAAATGTGAAGAATGTGGCAAAGTCTTCAGTCAAACTTCAAACCTCGCAAGGCATTGGAGGGTTCATACTGGGGAGAAACCTTACAAATGCAATGAATGTGGCAAAGCTTTTAGTGTGCGTTCGAGCCTAACTTCCCATCAGGTAATCCATACTGGAGAAAAACCTTTCAAATGTAATGAATGTGGCAAGGTCTTTAGTCAGACTTCAAGCCTTGCAATTCATCAGAGAATTCACACTGGAGAGAAACCTTACAGGTGCAATGAGTGTGGGAAAGCCTTTAATTCACATTCAAACCTAAATACCCATCAAGTAATCCATACTGGACAAAAACCCTATAAATGTCTGGAATGTGGCAAGGTCTTTACTCAAAATTCACACCTGGCAAATCATCGCAGAACCCACACAGGAGAGAAACCTTACAAGTGTAATGAGTGTGGCAAAGCCTTCAGTGTGTACTCAAGTCTGACTACTCATCAGGCAATCCATACTGGAGAAAAACCTTACAAGTGCAATGAATGTGGTAAAGTCTTCACTCAAAATTCACACCTAGCAAGTCACCGTAGGACTCATACTGGAGAAAAACCTTACAAATGTGATAAGTGTGGTAAAGCCTTTAGTGTACGTTCAAGCTTGACTACCCATCAGGCAATCCATACGGGAGAAAAACCTTATACATGTAGTGTGTGTGGCAAAGTCTTTAGTCGAAGTTCCAACCTTGCAAGTCATCAGAGACTTCATATTGGACAGAAACATAAGTGACTGTAGCAAGGCCTTCAGCCCCAATTCACTTGCACAATATCCAGGAATTCAGTCTTAAGAAAATATTAATTTAAATGATAGAACAACACTCATCAAGAGTTAAAGTACATCACTGGTTATGGTTGTATGCATGCAAACCACACACTTGTCAGACAGTTGTGGGATTTACCAGAGGAATAAGTCTTCATCTTCCATAGCTAATCTTTGATGTTACAGGCAACAAAATAATTGTTAATTGCAGAACAATTAAAGTTCAGAATAGGCTAAAACTATACACATACACACACACACACACATATGTTGCAAGACTACATTGATATACCTGGTTGCCTTCAGGATATAAATTAGTCATTGTTTTGTATTTCCCTGCAAAGTCTTCCTTATAATTTATGATTGTCAGCCTCAACTTTGTGATGGTACAGTTCTTGCCCCAGGGCCTTTTTTTGCACCCTCTGGGAAAAACAGGATGAAAAATCACATTAGTATGAAAGGAGCATGTCTATAATTTCTGAGAATGGCTCCACCTTTTGAATTAACTATTACTTAACTTATTGTTTTGTTTTAGTTGTGATTTACCCTATGACCAAAGCCAACTTGGGGACTAAAGTGTTTATTTCATCTTATGGATTATAATTAATTAAGATAAGCCAGAGCAAGGGCTTGAGTAGGAACGTGGAGGCAGGAACTAAGGTAGATAATGGAGAAGGTATGCCTGCTGGTTCACTTTTCATGGCTTAACTTCCCTTATACAACCCAGTACCACCTAGCACGGGGTGGTAGTGCCCAAATTGGACCAGGCCCTCCCAGAAAATGTTTGTCAGATATACTCAGAGTCCAGCCTGATGGAGGCAGTTTCTTAAAAGTCCCTCTTTCCAGGTAATTCCTGGGTGTCAGGTTGACAAGATCTAAACAGAACATTTATCATCTGAAAGGCATGAGATATTGTAAAACTGCAACGCAAAGTTTTCAAGTTCATTGTGTAATTTGGGGGCTATCTGTGTGACATCAGCAATTAAATGGGAATGAAATTAGAATATTGAACTTTTTTTCTTTTTTAGTTTTCTTTTTTTATTTATTAAAAATTTTCCCCTCCTCCCATTTCCCTCCCCCTCCTTCTCCAGTCCTAAGAGCAGTCAGGGTTTCCTGCCCTGTGGGAAGTCCAAGGTCCTCCCCCCTTCATCCAGGTCTAGGAAGGTGAGCATCCAAACAGACTAGGCTCCCACAAAGCCAGTGCATGCAATAGGGTCAAAACTCAGTGCCAGTTCTTGGAGAAAATCAACAAGACTGACTGAGAAGAATATTGAACTTTTTATGAAATGAGAACAATATACTCAGGGATGGATTGTCTGGTAAAATACAGAAGGCATAGTTAACATCTACATTGACTGGCAATAGCTTTTGTACAGCAAAGTATAATTTTTCTTACTGTTTAATTTGAAGAAAGAAACTATTAGAATGGAACATTTAACCCAAGGAATCAAAGTGTAGGAGATGGCCATAGAGGTTGTGGAGAAGTACTTGCCTACCATATGTGAGGCCCTCAGTAGCACCAAAAGTAAAAATACACTAAAGTTTTCTTGAGGATATCATTTAACTATTGTTGTTAAGCTTTGCCACTATTTTATTCAAAATATATCCTTGACCTAATTTTTAGTTAAAGCTTTTTACATTCCTGTGAATGTGTTTTTAATTCTTCTGTATAGTCTTTTTCTGTATCAGTGCAATGCTCCTGCAAGGAAATGAGAAATTGAAGTAAAGCTCCTCAGGTTGAGGTTTCTATACTTCGTATGAAATCAAATGCTATAAAGTTTTAGGGCCCTATAATCATTTTTCATTGAATTTATTCTGTCTATGCCCAAAGGATACTTGTGTAGATATAATGGACATCAAGAAGATACATTGTGTAGACTACCAAAGCAAAGATAACATGTTTTTGTATATACCTGTTGACTCTTCATAGCTGTGCAGTACTTCCATTAATTGATATAAACTACGCAGTCTTCATTCTGGTTGACTTTCCACATCAATAAAATTTGAAAAACAACAGTACTATTAGAATCATGAATTCAACTATTTAATGACAAAAGTTTGCCTTAAGCACTATTTAGTAAACATGAAGCTAAAATGCATGAAGTAATATGAATAAAATATTCCAAAATTTCTGAAGGTAGATAATTTATTACTCTTCTATTATGCTAGAATATCCTCCCTCCCCCCACCCCCAAAGCAAGTTAGGGGAAAAAAGGTCATTTTATTTTACAGTTTTCAGAGGAGATACATTCAGTAATGACAAGGAAGGTATGGCAATCTGTAAATGTTACATAACCGGAACAGAAAGTTGGGCCATGCTGTAAGACGTCAAAGGACAATTCCCGTTACCTCTTTCTCCAGTAAGGTCCACAACCTTACCAAATAGTATCACCAACTGGGGACCAAATGTTTAGTTACATGAGCCTTTGGGAGACTTTTCTTATTGAACCCTTCATTGACTTCCCTCAGTGTTGCATCCTTTCTTCCCTAAACCAGTATGAACTGGAAAATACTAAGCTCTGCCTCCAACTTTTTATGAAGCTTTCCCTTGGGCCAGTTGCATCAACTTCTGCACATGGAAGCTGGTAAAAAACTTTCCTGTTTGCTTTATTGGGGCAAAAGAACCCTAAGGTTTCACCACAAATAAGTTGTGGCCTTAGCTGTTGGAGTTTTGCTTATCATTCTGTGCCACGTGTTTTTCACTATAGATTCATAAGTAGCCAGTAATAATGCCACAAAATATTGTGGTATTTTGAAGACTTTCCCAAAGAAATCAGCCCATTACTTCCTAATGCAATGTCACTCAAATTCTTGCGGTGGGGGGGAGGTGTAGAATTCAGCGGGATCCTTTGCCAGTGCATAACATAAACTGATATTAGAGTCCTTGCTTTCTTATGAAATCTTGTGAGCTATACTTCCACATTTTGCATTTTTCTCAGTATTGCTGTCATCCCTGCTCACACTAAAAGTCCCATTAAGTTCTACTTATAGCATTCAGCAGTATTTCCAACCAAAATACATCATGGGACTTTTCTTCCACAGTATACAGGCCTATAAACCACATGGTTGGGTGTTGGGACCTAATGGAGTCCTGGCCTTCCTACTCATCTCCTCTTGGTGACCTTTTTTGCCCTTGTTCTGGGTTTCTGAGAAACTTAAAAGTTCCTTACTCAGAGTTGTTTATCAACCCTGCTTCCTGAGTACACATTGCCTTGGCCCTAACCAGAGGATTCAGCGATGAGATCTTCATCCTGTTGACCCACCTGTCTTTGTTAGGTATAAACCCCCTTGGTCATGTACAATAAAAGGGCTTCTGATTCTGCAACATCCAGAGTGCATGTTCCATTAATCCTGACCTCATTAATCCTGACCTGACATCCTTTGCTCAGACTTGGCATCCAGGCTGAGCTGGTGCAGTAGTTGGGATTAACAAAGAACCCACCTTGGTGGTTTGAACAACAATGGCTTTTACAGTCTCATAAATTTGAATGCTTGGTCAGGGAGTGGTCATTATTTGAAAGGATAAGGAATAAATGGGTAGGCTTCGACGTTTCAAAAACCCGAGTAAGGACCCATGGCTTCCTGTTCCTGATGCCTGCATATCTTAGTATAGAACTCAGCTACTTTTCCAGTGAAATGTCTGCCTGTGTGCTTCCATGGATCCCCACCATGATGATAATGAACTGAACCTCCAAAACTAGAGACAAGCTCCAAATAAATGCTTTCTTTTTTAAGGTTGGCCATGTTCATGGTGTATATTCATAAAATAGAACTTTGGCTAAAACAAGTTATCAGAGATGGGGCATTGCTATTACAGGCCTCATAATGATTTGGGGAATATGAAAGACTGGTACCTTGGACAAGAAAAATGGACATACATTTAACTAGGTCTTAATGTACCATTCTAGTAGGATGATGGAAGGCAGTGCTGAGGGTGATTTGAAATGTGGAAGCTCAACTTCAGAGGGGAAGAATATTAGTAAGTGGCTTGGAGACTGTTCTTGTGATATGTTGACAAATAATATGGCTTCTTTTCTTCCCCACCCTGAAAATCTTCCAGAATCTAAATTGAAGAATTTTGGATTAATGGTTTTGTCAGCAATCATTGACTCTGTCCCGTGGTTAGTTGTCACTTTAATGTAGATCTCTAATGAAAAACAAGCTGACCAAGGAAAACTATGGAATGCACAGTTTGAGGGAAAAAGGAGCACCAGGAAATGTAATGTAGGAAGTAAGTCCAGTGCTGAAGGAGATGAAAAGTTTTTTTAAAATGATGTTAAATGTAATAAATGAAGTGGTGATCTCAGTGACTCCACCTAGCAAAGCTTTTAACTTGTGCAAAGGAATTAAGGTAAAGCTCAAGGAATGAAGGAAATCATTAACAAAAGAAAGTTGATACACATGTAATTGAATGAGGGGCCCACATTTCCAGCAAGCAGCAGAACTTAGCATCTTTGGCCATGTGGATCTGACTTTATGAGACCAGTTACAAGAAAAGAGCTGTGACACGTCCCTCTGCAGCTAAGAAAAATTGCTGAGGCCATGTGTATTTCAGTGCTTTCCCTCCATAAAGGCCCAGAGATGTTTTGCATGAAGGTGTGAATATGAATCCTTTATTGCTTTGGGGACCTCCCAAGATGGTGGAGATGCCAAAATGTGAGATACCCACCAAGAACTGCTAAAAGCAAGTGAAATAAGTTCCAGAGAGAGAGAAGTGTGTTGTAGTCAACTGAAAAGTGTTGGATATCTGAAGAGTTCTTTGACATCAGACATGGAGATGCAGAGTTTAGAATTTGCCATGCTAGTTTGAAGTTCTTTGGTCCAGAATTTCCTCACTATGATTCCTTTCCTCCCATTTGAAATGGTGTTGAATATCCAATGCCATTGTATGTGATCCACTTTTTGATTTTGATTTTACATTTAAGAGATTGCTATGAGTCTCAAATAGTGTTGATACTGATGTAGATTATGGGGTCTTTAAAAGTTGGATTGAATGCAATTTTGTATTATGATATAGCTACAAGTCTATGGTGCTTGGGAGTGAAGTGGGTGGTTTCAATAAAAATAACCCCCCTAGTCTCATAGATTTTAAGTATTTGGTCTTTAGTTTGTTCCTCTTGACAATGATTAGGAGCTGTGACCTTGTCAGAAGAAGTGTCTCATTGGGTACAGGATTTGGGGTTTCAAATGTTCAAACCAGGCCCAGTGTCTTCCTCACTCCCTGGTGTCTACCAATGTAGATTTGGAACTATGCTACATCTGTAGCACCATATCTGCCTGCATGCCACCAGGCTTCCCACCAAATTGGTAATGGACTAAACCTCTGAAAGTGTAAGCCAGCCTCAATGAACGTTTTTCTTGTGTAAGCATTGCCAAGATCATGGTGTCTCTTCATAGTATTTGAATACTAAGACAAAAACTATATACATTAAACGAGAAGGAAGTGCAAACAATCCAAGCTAAACCTCTTAGAAGGAAAAATAATTCATTATGTTTCCAATCAAAGAAGCCTACTGTTTTCTTGGTGTATTAGGTGGTGTAATAAGGCGGAGACCCTTGTTATAACATTTTCATATGTATTTATCATTTTACTTCATCATATTATTACCCCTTTCTTTTATCTCTCATGACCTTCCCTTGTTCCCCTACTTCTCCCTAAATATTTTCTCTCTTTTTCAATGATCTTGATTCTTTAGTCTGTAGTATTTGAGCATTTACTTACTTCTCAGTATCAAATTCAGGTCTTTATTAATGTTCAAGCATAAAAACTCAAGGTGATAGCCTCTTAAATGATGTAGTAGGTCTTATGCTTTGCTGAAAGAGAACTTTTTATCCTATCTCTAGGTACACAGATATACCTATTCCATGCAAAGCCAATGACTGTAATGGAGGATCCGTCCTGTCTACTGTGATATGATTGCCAACTTCTAACCCACCAACACCAAATATACTAACACATGAAAACTCCTTCAAAGCTCCAAAGTTACACCCATGAACTCTTTAACCCTCTTTAACCCATTGTCATCTACATACAGAGTGTTACTTCCAACCAATGATCTGATTTCTAATTCAGAATCCAGACAAATTTAGACCTGGA